ATTTCGAAAATCATTTAGATCTTGCAAAAATATATATATAATTTAAAGAAAATCCCTACCTCAAACTTAGAAGAGAAGATGAGCAAAACAAGGTTGAAAGTCTAAAGATGTCAAAACCAACTTCTGCTTGGATCAAAACGAAGCTCTTGACAAGATTTACACTTAATCTCAAAGGAGCAAGGCAAGGGGATGCTTCCAAGTGAGTAGATCTAAAGATCTTTGAGCAAAAAGTGATTTTGGAGAGGGAGAGAGTGACTCACGGCTTGGAGACGGAAAAAGAGAAGAAAAAGTAAAGTAAAGAAAAGATTAAGTGAGGGACCTATTTATAGTGCTAAGTCAAAGTAAAATGAAGTCCCAAAGTCAACCCAAAAGAGTAAGTCAAAATTCCCAAAAAGTAGGACTAAAACCGGACTAAAATCTGGAAAAAAATGTCTGCAGGGGTCGACTCTTGCAACACAGGGGTCGACCCTATAAAGAAAAGCTGGGACACTTATGTTTGACAGTATAAAAGGGGGTCGACCCCCCCCCAGATTGGGGTCGACACCAAATTGCAGCAAGCAATTTCAGAAAACAAAGGGTTGACCCCCCCAGATTGGGGTCGACCCCAAAACAAGATTTTTAAGTTCCCAAACAACTTTTCAACGTAAACAAGGGTGAACGAGCAATCCTAACAAGTTTAAATCAATTTGTACTCCTCCAAAACTAAGATACAACAACACTAAAAATTCCCAAAATAGAATAAAGGATTCAAATACACTTCCCAAAAGCTTTGAAGGACACAAGTGCTACAGAGGAGATTGGCATTATAAGGTAAGTTTCTTGAAAAACATAACAAAAATAATGAAAAATGATCGTCATTTTTTCGAGATTAAACTCCCTAACATATGACCTAAATTCCAAACATAGGCACGAACATTTTTTATTTGTTCAGGAATAGGTAATCGAACATTGCTTATTTGTTCAGAAATAGATAATCGAACACTATTTTCTCACTGCAAGGTCATGAATAAGTATATGGAGATAAAATAGTAATCATCTAATAGAAGTATATTAAATTGACAATGTTAGAAAAGACCCCAAGAAGAAAAACAGTGCTTACAAGTATAATAAGGCCATGGATGAGTGGATTGTGTTGTGTGTGTGAAAAGAGGTGATAGACAAAAAAACAATTCAAGCAGATTGTCAAAATTCATGATCAAATAGAGAAAAAACTTCTTAATCACCTTGACAAGTAATCACAAGTGGTGAATAAATTTTTTTCTACCAGTTTTGGGAGGTTTCACCGCCGTGGGTTTTGTTAGGATTTTGGGAGATAGGTTTTTTGGGATATGAAGGTGTGCATTTGAATAAGTGTAATGTTTTCACAAGAATAATTTTGGTATTATTTGAGGGGAGGAAATAAATTTTAAGGGTTTTAGAAGTTATAAATGAGGGTCCAAAGGAATAGGTGGTTCAAAATAATTGATGGGGTGCTAATAGTAACATTCTTAAAAAATTGCCTTTTTTTATTTTTTTTCTTTTTCATAAACTTTTTTTCGATCTTTTTCAAAAAAAAAAAATCACTTTTTTAATTCTTCTACACTAGATGAATCCAAAAAGTGGGGGAAAAAAATGTAACATAAATTTGCAAAAAAAAAAAAAAAATCACCAAAGACAATATTTGGGAAAAAAAAAATGTGACTTTTTTGAGTCCGAATCCTCTGCCGCGTTTGCCTGCCGCGCTTTCTACGGTGCTACCAAAATGGCATCATTTTGGTAGTTTTTTTGTTTTTATTTTTTTTCCTCCTGTGTTGTTTTCCCTCAGTTTGAAAGACCAGCCACAACCACAACCCTAAGCACCTCATGAACAGGAGGAAAAAAAAATACATCTCATATAATGAGGGGATTGTTAGGATTCTCCTTTTCTTTCTTTCTCTGTCTGTTCCTTTTCTGATGTACCCAATAAAATAAAATAAAATAAAACAACAACAACAGCATCCAAGTAAGTTCATTTGTATTAAAATTACGACAATGCTACGTAACTCAAATTTTGTAGCTCAAAACTGGCTCAAATGGCCAAAACGACGTCGTTTTAAGTACAGAACAACATAAAAATGGCCAAAATGACGTCGTTTTGGCCATTTGAGCCACAAAATTTGAGCTACGAGACATTTTCCTTAAAATTAATGTAAAAGACGTTTAAGAAGTCCCACTGGTTAATTCCAAGCTCTCTCCAAAGCCAAATGGGTCAAAGTCAATAATAAAAACAAACCTTAAGCAATAAATTTTAGTCAAGTATTGTTCTTCATAATCAACATACAATGACTAAGAAAAATTTGTGCAGTACAAAGAATTTTGGTCTCATCCAAAAGAATAGTGGAAATAACAGCACAATTATAACAGTAAAAAAAAAAAATTATGAAAAAAGTATAGCATTTTAATTATTAAAGTGTATAAATTTTATTGATAATTTGTATTTTTTTTTTTTGGGGGCCACTGTGCTATTATTTCCCCAAAAAAATATAAGCAAATGGTTTTCCAGAATTTCCTATTTTTTTTAAATCACTACAAGAATTACATTTCCAACAATTGAATTTGAACCTTCTTGAATTATACTACCTTTTAATATACTCAACCATTTAAGAGGTTAAAGTTAAAGAAAACATAGCTTAACACAATTGGGCTAAGTCTAAATCACAAAGATATGCTATGCTTTCAATAACGCCTGTATAGTTTTTTTTTTTAATTTTTTTATTTTTTTGTTGGTATTTATTGTTTTGAAAAAAATACTTTTATGACAATAGCCTATTTTGAAAAGTAAGTTAAAAATTGATATTTTGATTTTTTAATTTCTTTTACAAAGAAAAAAAAAAGTACAAAAAATAAAGAGATAATACAAACTAAAAAAAGTCACAAAATCAAAAAAATTGACTTTCAACTCAAAATAAGCCAAAGTCAAGAGTGTTGGTTGGTGAAGTGGAGTTCCATAAAGCAGTATGAAAATTCCAACCATAGATTATGGCCTCCAATAGTGGAGTGATTATTTTGTAGTTTTGAAGGATTATTTTACATTATTTATTATTTGACATTTATTAAGTTGTCTTCTAAGATTATATTTGTGTTAGTTTTTTTGACTTTCGAAAGTTAATAATGTAATTTCAAGCATGCCGCTAAAGATTAATAAGTCCTAATAAAAATTTTAAACGCCAACAAATTATCAGACGATTATATTGAAGTTCTTTCAATCTCAATGAATAGAACTTTTACTGGTGACTTTACTTGGGAGAAAATTAAAGATATTGATGATAACAATAGACAAAAACAGCTTCAATAACTGAATTTCATTAATTAATAAGAACTTACAATGATACCTTCGCACTTTCATAGTCTCAAAGGATTTTACAGCAACAGACTACTTGAAACTACTCCTACGAATTGAATTGCAGTACAGAAATTGAAGAACAGAAAATGTAAAAACTGGAAAGAAAAATATAAAGTAAATAACTGATTTCTGGATCTGAATCTGGGGTCTTTCTGTTGGCCTTCTCTTCTATTTATACCCTCTAATGGTAACCATCGAAGTGGTCTTCCATCCGTCGAAATGCCCTTCCACGATCACTAATCATGGTCTTGAACAATTTGCTTCTACAACGCCATTCTTGCAGTTGGACTTTCTTTCTGAATTTGAATTTGAATTGCGACTAACCGTTGGGTCACGTCACCTTGCCCCTTCTAAGTGTTCTAATGTTGCGCAGATCCATTGTTACCAATATAAATTGCCACGTGTTTATCATTGACTGGAGACTTGTATTAACTCTCTAAATTACCCTTTACAAGCCACGTATTAAGTTACGATTGGTTTATATGAAATATGTAACCAACAGATTGGAATATAAATTTGAATAGGAATTTGAAAAAGTAAAAAGAAAAAGTGTGTAAAATATAATTATATTTCATTCGTATATTTTTTTTCCTTCTTAAATTTCTATTCAAATTTAAAATTCATAAATCAAATGCAGGGCAATAAAGTCCATAAAAAATACTAACTATCACATAAATTTGTCCCACCAAATAATTCTTTCCTTTAATTTTAGGGGTGGACTCCGAATCATGGAAGTGTTCATACACTGTTTGGTGTGGACCCTAGAAATAATGCACTTAGAAAAAGTCCCATAAATTTGTCCCACCAAATAATTCTTTCCTAATATTTTAGGGGTGGACTCGGAAGCATGGAAGTGTTCATACACTGTTTAGTGTGGACACTAGAAATAATGTTCTTAGAATTTTTTTTTTTGGGTGGATAGGTGTTTGACATGTGGTAAAAAAAATGTATTTTTTTTATATATATATTTATTTGGGTAACATCAATCAATATCTGCTCTTTATTTTTCTACCTATTTTCTTTACTTTTCTATATATATTTTTTTATATAAAATTAAAAAATACACTTATTTAGAACATTTCAAACCATTCCTTAAAATTTGATTAGTGTAAAAATCAATATCAAAGGGGTGTCGTGTGGTACCGGATTCGTGTCAAATTATTTTAATAATAATTTTATTTATTTATTATTATTTTATATTGTTGTGTTATGTTATTTTTGATTTATATCTGGTTAGTATTATGTTAATGTATCATATTAAAAAAATTATTTTTAGCTATCAAACTTACAATGAAAATAAATTATACTTAAAAGAAATTAGGCATAAGAATATTTATTTTCAACTCAATTTTATTTTAGAAATTTACAAAAGCTATGTTAATTATCATTTTATTTTTATAATTTACAAAATCTATGTTATTTATTTATTTACTATTTATTTTACTTTCCTTTTGGCTGCCAATTGTCTCTTAGAGATGGTCTTGAGTTGTACTCTTAGGCCCGTTTGTTTTGGGAGATAAAATGGAGGGAATTGATAGTGAAGAGATTGTTAGTGAGGGGATTGATAATGAGGGGGTTAATAGTGAGGAATTGTTAAATTATTTTTATATAAAATAATAAAACAAATAAAAAAATATCTGAACCTGAAAATCCACCGGAGATCGCCTCAAGTTTCAGAGCTGTTGAGTATTTTCCGGCGAAATTTGCCGGCGAAATGTGCAAGTTCGGATCACTCGTCTTCCTCTTACTTCTTTGCTCTGCGGCTCTTGCTTCTGCTCAGGGATCTAAGAACAGAACCACAAAGTGGCAGACATTAAGCGGTATTTCCTCTCTCTCTCTCTCTCTCTCTCCCTCTCCTTTCTTCACTTTAGATTTTGATTCTCACTTGCCCCCTGTTTGGTTGCTGAGAAACCTGTTGGAAAAGAAGATTCGAGAAGAAAATAAAACACATCGAGTCTCGTGTTTTGTGTTGATTAGTGTTTTCTGCCACATTTCTCGGCAACCAAACAGAGTTAAGCTGAAATCCGTGGATGCGGAGTTTTGCTTTTGCGGACAATCGATGTCCCTACTGTCAAGGCTACCTCTCTCCTCTGTGTCTCACTCTATACATATTTTTTGGTAATAAAAATGACATATTACAGTAAAATATCTAAAATAATACTACTTTTATAGTGTAATTGTGACCTATTGGATTATTTGTTATTAGATTCAATGACATTGTATTGCTTTAAAAAAAATTATTCTCTCGTATTTGTTATATGTAGAAATTGCTTCAATTTGTAGCCAACATTTAGGTTCTAGAGGTGAACTTTAAGCTCTGATAGTTGAGGGGATCTTGGATTAATATTACATTTTTTAGTTTTGTTATCAAAGTTTTCATCTTTTCTTTTAATGTAAATATTGTTGGTGGCTTGGTGCTATTCCATTCAAATGAGAAACTCTTGGAGCAATGCTCTAAAACTCCATCAGAAATATGATGGGTTTAGACCAATAGCTATTAATTCAGAGCACCACCTGGACTTGCACTAAGAGCACTTAATAATTTCTCCATCTAAAAGGGGGATTTTCTTGAACCATGTGTTCCACAAACTGACCTGCCCACCTTCAATTTTGGGCTACATGATCCACAAACTTATTCATTTGCTTACTTTTGCAGGAAATGAACCTTTGGTCGTGGCACGTGGTGGCTTTTCAGGGCTATTTCCTGATTCTAGCGGAATTGCCTACCAGTTTGCTGGACTGGTTAGTTTACCCAACGTATTATACTGGTGCGATGTACAGCTGACAAAAGACGGTGCTGGCATTTGCTTTCCAAATCTCATGATTGTGAACGGTTCTGACATATCAACTTTTTACCCAAACAAAACTAGTACCTACTCTGTTAATGGGGTATCTATGACAGGATGGTTCCCTGTGGATTTCACCCTCAATGAACTGACAAATGTCGTTTGTAAGTTTAGATGTCGATAGTCTTATGTTCCAGTTTCATGTGGCCTTAACATTTTTTTTATGACCTGATATTCTTAACTGCTGCATGAATGTTTTGGTTTGTATATAATATATGGCACGAGGTGTAAGATATTTGTGACATTAGTAGAACCTTGTGTAAGCATAATCCTTTAATGTGCATTTATAAGTTATAACAAATATAAAACTATTCAATCAATTGTTTGACAAGAATAATTTTTGAGATAGTTGAAAATACTGGTCTAATTATATCACATTCTATGTGGTGACTGGTTTTTGTATAGTCTGGATACTGATACACTGGTATCAAATTTGATATCTAAACCATTACCTATTTAACAGAAGCTTGTCAGTTGTCACCAAAGCAGATGGGGTTAATATTTTGATTAAATATTGTAAGCTAATTGAATGTTTCAAAATTCGAATTTTCTTACTTTTTGGAAATTGTTGTACTACAATTTCTTCCATATTTTCAATTAGTTTACTTTTTCTATAACTTCTTATTCATCCATATTTATTTTATTTTATTTTTTATTTTGATTGCAGTAGAATCAAACTATATTTATGTTGTCTTCATTCAACTGGGGATCTCTTGTTTGTTGGGTTCCTACTTTTAATTTCCTTTTCAAGTTGATGTGCAGTGTCTAAACTTCCAGTGGGCAAAATCCTGATGTAAGTGATCAATATGCAAGTTTGATCTAATGTGACATTAATTTGGGTGTAAAATGTTTGGCAAAAACACAGTTTGGGTTGGGCTTATTTGAGTGCATTCAATTGGGCCAATCCAATGAACCTGATCTATCACGTATAGTTTATAAATAATGCCGCATAGTATTATGGAATACTAATAATTTGGAGAATTCTACCATACACATCCATTTATCATATGCATCATTAGTTATGTCATTTTTTTTTCTTTAGTTATGATGAATTATCTTCGTTAATTATGATATTATTTTAGTTAAGACTTATAAGATCTTTGGTTGTGCCTCATGTGGTGTTTGGTTATGATTTATTTATTTATTTTAGTTATGACTCAGAAAGTATGTAATTATATCATTTTTTTCTTCAATTAATTGATCTCACGTGTTGTCCTATCAAATCGGTAAATAACTAACTAGAATAAGACCACCTACCTATTTGAGAGAAATTGGACGGATAGGTATCATGGTACATGAATACGTAGGTATTATATTTAGAGTTACTTTGATGAGATATTTTTGTGGATGTGTACAGATGATGGATAAGAGTTGGATTGATTTGCCAAATAGGATGTCAAGCGAATACATTAATGGGATTGATGAATTCCTTGTGTTTGCCTACACCAATAGGGTTGAAGGTTCGATGATCAGTTGTCCGTGTAGGAAGTGTGAGAATCGATACCATCTTGCACGAGAGGGTGTACGGGAGCATCTAATTTTGAATGGTTTTTTTAAAAAATACAAACATTGGATTAATCATGGGAAATCTTACGTATCTCTGCATGGCAATCGAGAGAATGAAACATTAGCTAATTTAGACATTGGGGATGATATGATTGGAATGATACAAGGGGCTATGGGAAATCCACATGCCGGTACAAGTGTTGAGGGTAATGAACCACAGGGGCCTGATCCCCATGTATCTGAACCCCAGCTCGGTCCAAATGCAGAGACTGCAAAGTATTTCAAACTTCTTCAAAATGCACAAAGTGAATTGTATCCGGGTTGTCAGAAGTTCACTTCTTTGTCATTCATTGTTCGACTTCTACATTTGAAGGTGCTTAATCAGTGGACAGACAAGTCTGTTGACATGTTGCTTGAGTTATTGAATGAGGCGTTCCTGTAACGCCCTCAAAATAATAACATTAAACCCATCAATATAGACATGCATTGATATATAAAAGCTCCACATTCTCCTATTCAACAGAGTTCCATTACCAAAAAGTATTACATGTTAACAACAAAAGCAAATGCTCTACGGGCTTACAGCTTTCCAAGTTAACACTTGGTCACAAAAGAGAGTACTAACTCGGTTACATATTAAGCCATTGGCTTGAATTTACATGTAATACATCAAAAAGAAATAAGACAACAAAAGTGTGTCCGCCTCTAGCCTCCCAAGCTATGTCCTTGGAGGTGGCATGCTACCTGTACCTGAAAATGATATTCCCATATAGGGTGAGCCACAGCCCAGTAGAGATATGCTAAACACAGTATGAGCAATGACTAAGACATTAGCAATTGATAAATGTTCAATTTTCATAAACCAATTCATAGTCCATTTCCATTTCTTATCAATTTCATAGTTTCCATCAATGGCTCAGAACCTGGCCAACCACTTATATGAGACCAAGACTCATATTAAACATTTTCTTCTTTTTTTTTTACAATAGATAAACACACAGGTTATATCAATATCTCAACAGATAAGCATACAAGCTATTTCCACATTTCAACAGATATGCATATTAGCTATATCAACACTTCTCATGACAAGCATATGAGCTGTATCAACACTTCCAATGACAAGCATATAAGCTGTATCAACACTTTATCTGACAAGCATATGAGCTGTATCAATGAAGTCCATCCCCTATCTCCTCTCAAACAACATCCGGTTTAGAGGTCCATCCCCTATCTTCCCCTAAACCGTGGAGTACATCCCCTATCTCCTCCCACACACACAATGCATATATACACAAGGGTCATATACACAATCAATCAATACATAACGTTAATGTATTCTATCAACCGTCATACTCTATGACATATCCAATTGATTAGTTTTAGTTTGCCTAATCATCATGGATTGTCTACAACAATCAAAACTACCCTCCACCGGTAGCCCAAGCAATTATTTCTAAACAGATAATAAAAGCTCCAACAGATAAAATATCGATGTTTTCAAAAGCGAGCGATTTATAAATCCAACTCCACCATTTCACAATATAATGAGCCAATTTCATTATTTCCAACACAGTTCCATAAGTTCACAATTTTTCCCAAATTAATTATGCCAATTAATTTATACCACAAATTAGGGTTTGCTACCCCCTTTCCCAATATTGACCCAATGGCCTAATATCAACAACCAACAACCATATCATCACTTTGGAACCCAAAAATACAAGTTATGAGCCCAAAATCACACAACCCTTTTTACACGTTTTGAAACCCTAAGTCCCAAAATTTCTCAAGTTCAACACTCTATCAAAACAACTAAGAATCTAGGTCAAAGACCATAAAAGTGAGTAGGAATCCCTACCTCAAAGGATGACAACCTACGGAGAAGATGATGAAAACGAACTTGCCCCAAATCACAAGTTTCTCGGATCAAGAGATAGCCCTCGATGATCAACAACTCTTTTGTAAAGGCCAAAGGTAAGGAAATCACTCCTACTAGATCAATACCTAGAGAGAAGGTAGAGTTCTAGAGTGAGAATCTCAACAATGGTGTTTTTGGAAAAGTAAGAGAGAGAAGAAAAGTGAAAAAGTGATTTAAAATGACCCAGCGGATAACTCATATACGCATGACCCGCTCGAGCGGAGAACACAACGCTCAAGCGCCAAGAACAAAATCTGGACACGCTCGAGCGCAATAAGGCCCGCTCGAGCGCCAAGACACAAGAATAAGGCACTTCCGCTCGAGCGTGCAAACCAGTTCGCTCGAGCGTAGATTTCCCCTTCCCAGAACCTATATCCAGAAAGTACTACCCGCTCGAGCGCCAACAAACCTGCTCGAGCGCCACCGCTCAAGCGTAAACAAACCCGCTCAAGCGCAAAAATCACATCGGCAGAAGTTTTGCAGGAACCCGAAATTACTGGAGGTGTGCAATACCCGCTCGAGCGCAATGAGACCTGCTCGAGCGGGCCGCCTAAAAACTGAACAACAAGGAATTGAAACCAAGGCCTAACCAACCTGTAACAACCCTCCTCAAAACATCCTAAAACTCAATCAAGTGGAATTAAAGGACGACAGCAAGATAGATACCACTACCACTTCACGGAACCGAGTCCGAAATACAACAGAACAGTAAAGGGACAACCGGGATCGCTATAGGTCCCGTTGGGTGTGAAACTCCCGGACTCATATTATAAAGCTCAAAAGGTCACAACAGATTTGGGCTTCACGTATGAGACGTGGGATGCATGTCTGAACAGTTGCATGTTGTTTCGAAACGAGGACGCCAATCTTGATAAATGTGTCATATGTAACAGTTCTAGATGGAAATCAAATGGTGATGATGGTTCAAATGGTCCTAACAAAGGTGGCAAACGAATAGCTGCAAAACAAATAAAGTATTTTCCTTTACAGCCAAGGTTGCAGAGGTTGTTTATGTCATCCAAGACGGCCAAGTTAATGAAATGGCATGCAGAGGAACGAACTGATGATGGTGTCTTTAGGCATCCTGCTGACTCCCTTGCATGGAAAGATTTTGACCGTCGGAATATTGACTTTAGTAATGATTGTCGAAGTGTAAGACTTGGCTTAGCATCTAATGGTTTTAACCCATTCAGGACGATGAACATAGTTCATAGCACTTGGCCTGTTGTGCTCATTCCATACAACTTGCCGCCATGGATGTGCATAAAGCAACCATTTCTAATTTTATCCGTGCTTATTGACGGCCCGAAAGGACCCGGTAACAAGATTGATGTGTATATGCAACCGTTGATTGAGGAGTTGAAAGAACTATGGAATGAGGGTGTGTCAACATTTGATGCATCAACAAATCAAATGTTTCAAATGCATGCAGCTTTACTATGGACAATTAGTGATTTTCCTGCATATGCAAACTTGTCAGGATGGAGCACTAAAGGCGAATATGCATGTCCTTGTTGCACTAAGGAAACTACATCGTGTTGGTTGAAGCATAGTAGGAAACAATCATACTTGGGTCATCGCATATTTTTACCTACTGGCCATAAATTCCGAAAGGTTAAAGTATCATTTGATGGTAGTCGGGAAGTTAGACTCAAACCAAAATTGTTGTCTGGAACTGAGATGTTGCTACAATTAGAATCTGAGGGTATTTTAACCCAATACAAGAGGGATGACCTTAAGAAGAGGCATAGGAGACAGGTAGAAAAGGAGAAAGCTGGACATCGCACCCATAGCTGGAAGAAAAATAATATCTTTTATGAACTGCCATATTGGGAGCATAATCTAATAAGACACAACCTCGATGTGATGCATATAGAGAAGAATGTTTGTGAC